CAAAACCAGTACGGGAGAGCAAATCATAGATGAACAAATATACGTATGAGAACAAAATGATTGTATCATTAAAATAAAGGAATAAATAGAGTTATTTATGCATCTAAAAGTTAAATGAAAATGATTGGATGATAGATTTCATTAAGACTACTTCATAGCTAATTTTAGAGAAGCTTATTGCTCCTGCAGTCCAACAATCACCACTAACAACACCAATAACAATTTGTTTAGTCATTGAATATGCACAACAAACAAGGAACAAGGAGGCAAACAAGAGCAAAAATTTAATCCTCTCTATTTCATGATCTAAAAGTTTCTTGCCATTCAAAATTTTAAAAAGGTGGTTTTCCAAACCTTGGGATTTAGACTTGGTCATCTTGAAACCACTACCATGGTGGTAATAATATGTCAAGGCGTCTCCTTTTCAAATTCCCACACTTGCCCACTTCTCAAACAAGGCTTTTCACCACAGTCTCTTCCCTCTTAACTCTCTGCAAGAACCCCAAACATCTTCAACAAATCCATGCCAGGTTCATCCTCCATGGACTGCACCAAAATCAAACACTTTGCTCTGAACTCATCCAATCCTATACGAACTTGGGTCTCCTCCATCACTCACTTCTCGTCTTTAATTCTATCCCCATTGCAAATTCGATTCTTTACCACTCCCTACTACGAAGTTTGGAGAAGTTTGGTGAATACAAGATGACCCTTTTGGTGTACCAAGAAATGTTGCGTAAATTAATATACCCGGATGAAACTACTTACCCTTTTGTTTTCAGAGCATGTTCTTGCTTGTTGGATGTTCAAAATGGGAAAACCATTCATGCCCATGTTGTAAAACTTGGTCTTGATTCATTTTATTTTGTCAGTGTTGCTTTTCAGGAGATGTACAGAGGATGTGGTGGTCAAATGTGGAATGAACACGAGGTGATTGATAAAAGGTCTGTTAAGGATTTTAATTACTGGAATTCTTCAATTTCTGAGGCTTCTAATTATGAAAATGTTGAGGAAAGTTTTCGACTTTTTACGAAGATGAGAATGAAGAATTTTGAACTTGATTCCTGTACTGTTGTTCACTTGTTGAGGATGTTTGTTGATTTGAACTTGTTGAAGACAGGAAAAATCATTCATGGGTTGGTTGTTTTGAATAAATTAACAGAGGATATGTCTGTTAACACTGCATTGTTATCAATGTATTCCAAGTTGGGTAGTCTAGGAGATGCAAGATTATTGTTTGATAAGATGCCTGAAAAAGATGGCGTAGTGTGGAATGTGATGATTTCGGGATATTCACAACATGGGTACCCAGAGAAATCCATGGAGTTGATGAGTTTTATGGTGAAATCTGGAGTGGGGGCTGATTTATTTACTGCAATTCCTGCTGTTTCTTCAATCAAGCAGTTGAAATCCATTGAGTGGGGAAGACAAATGCACGCGTTTGTTCTGAGATGTTGTTTGGATTATCAAGTATCACTTCACAATGCATTGATTGACATGTATTGTGAATGCAATCATTTAAATTATGCAAGAAAAGTTTTTGACTTGGTAAAAAACAAGACTGTGGTTTCATGGAGCACAATGATAAAAGGATGTGTAAGCCACAATCAGTCTCTAGATGCTTTCTCTCTCTTCACCTATATGAAACTAGATGGAACTAAACCTGATTTTGTGACAGTCATCAATATATTGCCTGCCTGTGTAAATATAGGAGCTTTAAAGCAGGTAAAATACCTTCATGGGTACTCGTCGAAATCAGGTCTAACTTCATTTTCTTCTGTTAACACAGCAATTCTGATCAGCTATGCCAAATGTGGAGCTATAGAGATGGCAAGGAAACTTTTTGATGGAGAGAAAGTTGACAGTAAGGATATTATCACATGGAACTCTATGATCAGTGCATATTCCAAGCATGGAGATTGGTCTAAATGTTTTATGCTGTACAACCAAATGAAGCAATCAAACATGAAGCCGGATCAAGTAACCTTTCTTGGATTATTGACAGCTTGTGTTAATTCAGGCCTTGTTGAAGAGGGACGAGGATTATTTAATGCAATGGAGTCCTATGGTTTCCGACCTTGCCAGGAACACTATACTTGCATGGTGGACTTGCTGGGGCGTGCTGGTCATATTAATGAAGCCAGACAACTTATCAAAACCATGCCTATGAAACCTGATGCTCAGGTTTGGGCTGCCTTGTTGAGTGCCTGTAAATTACATTGTGAAACTGAAATTGCAGAGTTTGCTGCAAAGGAGCTTTTAGACATGGAACCAAAAAATGCTGGAAATTACATATTGCTCTCAAACATATATGCTGCAGCAGGACAATGGGCTGGTGTAGCTAAGATGAGAAGTTTCCTTAGAGATACAGGATTGAAGAAAACACCTGGCTGTAGTTGGCTTGAGATACAGGGACATTTACATGAGTTTCGCGTTGCTGATCGATCTCATCCAAAATCGGGTGAAATATATGCTATATTACAGAACTTAGAGGTGGAAATTATGGAGATTAGAGATAAGGATTTAGGGATACGTGCTTAAATGTCAAGTTCTTTTATTCCTATATACTATGCATGCTTCATATGTTCACTTTTTATACAAGTTTTTCAACTTCTTTCTTGTTTACTCTTTAGATAAGCTTTTGAACTTCTTTTTTCTATTAGTTTTTTTATGTTTGTTTTTTATGAGAAGAATGAAAATTTTGTTTTATAATTAAAAGTTTAGATAGTTTAATAATTTAGTTCCACATGCACATTAATAAAAATATAATTAATAATACCAAAAATTTGTAGTGAGCATACACACAAGATGTAAAGACCCAAGATTTAAGGACATGGAAATATCGAATTATACTAACTATAAACGGAAGTAATTTAAAATTTAGGATTTATATTTTTTACATAATAAATCAAAATACCCAATAGAATTACGGGAATGTTCTTTTATAGAAGTTCAAAGTAATGAAATAAATAATTAAAATAAAACGAAATAAAGGTCTTCTAAGGTTAACTTCTGTTCGGTAACTCTGATGAGGTTCATGAGGTAACATTTATTCGCAACCTTCTTATTGTTCAGGATCTGAATTTTAATTTTTCTAATCTAAAATGGTTAAATAAGTGAATGAATTCAGTAAAAATATCACACTTAACACCAATACGGAAAACTAAAGGTTGATAAAAAATCATAAAACAACCAATGTAGCCATTCGTCTTTCTTAAATAAATTTATTTGATATAAAAATGTAGTTTCATACTTACCTTTAAGTTTCCAAAATCGACATACAAAAACAATAACCCGAATTGTATTTTGATTTCATTTTTAAATTAGTCATAATAATAAACTTACTTGTTTACTAGTGCCCCTTGGGGTCCATAGGGATATCTCCTTACACGTGAATTCAATTTCCAATTTATTAATCAACCGGTCGTCCCTATACCACGTCCGATAATAGACGTTAAATATGTCACCACTTCAATACCCCGTCTGGTATGTAAGTGAACTATACCTCCCAACTCATTTCAGTATGAGACTTCTCAGTCTCGTTCGACTGAGAAAATATCCACGGTAGGGTTTTCTCTATGTACTGGTTCGTCCACTCTTTCCTATGGTACCCAATACACTTTTCATACATATGTTCACGTCATCAATCAATCACCAATCGTATACCAATATCTCGTTTCATATTTACATATCAATAAAACGACATTTGAGTAAACAATACAAATTTATACTTTAATAATTAAGAAACGAAATTAAAGCATTTATTTCAAATCAATCAATAGATAAAAATAACGGTTAGGTAATCAATAAACTAAAAATCAATTAAAATTAATAATTTAAAGCGCACGATGTAATAGTAAATAATTTAGGCAACATAGAAAAATAAATAGGCAAGACGAATAAGTTAAGACAATTATACACTGATTAGTTCCACCTCCACTAGCGATCTGTAATTAATTTTAGATTTTTTTTTAATTTTTACAAAACACAATTTTATTGATTATTAATCTTTAATTTACCATAATAGAAAAAAATGTGAGAGATTCTTACTTCGGATCATTGTCTGAAAAACTGCATTTTTCACTATGCTTCCAGAGGTCCCCAGATTTTCTGAATTTTTTTTTTGCAAAAATTAAAAATACCCATAACATATCCAAAAATACCCTAAAGGACCAAAATATATATTTTTAAAATTTTTCGACCAATTTAAGGTTTCGGCACGGCGCCGCCACCATGCTCCGGTGTCGGCTTCGTCGCCCACGGTAGCTTTTCCTTTCGGCCTGGTCATTTTTGGCTAATTTAAGCCAATTTTGGCCGATTTTACATAGAAACCTGCGAAAAACCAAGTTAAGGGACCTCTGTTGGCCAGAAAAAACAAAATCGAAACCCTACTGGCAGAAGGGACTCATGGTGCAGCGACTCTGTTGTTCCTTCGTAGTAGTCAGGGTTTTTCCTTCGACAAACCTGCACAGAGAAGGACGAGAAATAAATAGCCAGAAACTACGGGGAACGAAAACAGGAAGGAAGTTATCAGAGGGGTTTCCAAGTTGCGGCCGTGGTGGCTAGGTCGAGCTCCACTCGTATTTTTCGGCTCATCCACTGCCATTTTCTCTCCGATATAGGTGTGGGGAGGCTCGAAATTCAATTCTTAGTGGAAGGAAATTTTTTTTATCTCTTTCGACACCGACAGTGGCTCTGATGCAACGACGACGGTGTCCCTCTGATAGCTAGTCTTTCCTCCAGCTGTTCTCCTTCTTCTTCTCCGATTGGGGTTGTCGGTTAGGGTTTTGGAGCCGACTGAAGAGAGGTTTAAATACCTCTCTTCCCTCAGATCCTGGTCGTTCATCCACATCGACGTAGAGCGAGGAGAGCCATTTGGTTATTGCCTATTTAGGCCGATCACATGTGCGAATTTGGGCCGTCCATCGTAATAAATCTCATACGTCCGATCGTATCTGAAGAAAAAATGAATATGGACCGTCTGTGTGCGCAGGATGCGATCTGGGTCGTCAAATCGCTCAAGCATGTAGATCGCTTGCGTGGCTCCCACGTGGAGCCAGAGTCAGCGTATCTGCCACGCGGCGCATTCTGACTCACCGTGCTACTGATGTGGTCGTCCCACGTGACCTTATTTCCCATTTTTTGCGATTTTACCCCATGTTTTAAGTTTCTCTTTCAAAAATATCTCCCCTTATTCACAGTTTCACCCATTTTCTCAAAATTATTTTTAATATCATTCCTAAATCTATTTTTTCTCAAAACATTTCATAAAAATTAAATTATTTTAGTATATTATTTTATTAATGTAAAATTATCTCAAACCGAATTTTTAGGCTCGGGTGTTACAACTCTCCATCTCCTAAGAAGAAATTTTGTTTCTTGAAATTTATCGCCCTCTCACTAGTCAAACTGTTGGGGGTACCTAAGGCTTTAAAGTCTGATTATAACTCTCATGGTAGCCTCGCTCTCTGCGTGATTCTGCAATAAGAACTTTGACGAAGGGTATTTCCTCTGGTGGCAAATCACTCTGCTCCTTTGGGACCTAAAA